TCTTTTCACAACCTCTGTAGATCATCAGAAAAGAGTCCAGATTGATTTTATGTTCTCCTCTTTATAATCAGCTCACAGTTTTATTTCAGCCTGGAGAGACTCACACAACAAGATGCTGCAATCAGAAAAGTTTGACTGACATAAATGAAATGAGAAGAAGACTTTGATGCTGTGAATCAACATTTGCTTTGATGAGAATTTTATAAAAAGAATTAGAGTAGTCTCCCCCCAGGGCCCAGACACTGGTGGTGGAATAAGCCAGAAGGTGAGGGGGACTAAGCATAATCTGAGAAAGAGGGAGGAGAAAGGGGTGGAGGTGGGTGAAAGTTCGCAGGCATGAGGGAGGGATGCTAGGCTAGAAATTGTCAGGGTTTGGTTGTGGTTTGAGGACCCAGTTGGTGAGTTTCTTGTAGATTTAATGAGTGGTTCATAAACAACAGAGGCAGGAAAAAAAAAAAAAAAATCAAAAAATCCAACAAGAAAAAAGAAAAACAAACCAGAACCATGGAGACTTTAGGGGAAAACAGTCACAACGAGGTAAGACACAGAAAGACAGTGTTAGACAAAGTTAGACGAGAAACCAGCACTGAGGAACTGCACAAGGAGAGTATTTATGGCTGACTGAACAAAGAGAGGACTAACAAGCTGATTGGGAGCAGGTGTGAAGACAGCAGTCTAAGAAGCTAGGGATTAGGGAGACCAACTCAAGAGGGCAACAAAGAGAAACAAATAAAAACCTGAGAACTGAAATATAACCGGAAAACACTACAAAATAAGAATCAAACCAATAAAACTAGAAAACATGGAGCAAAGGTAAGCTGAATACTCAAAACAAAACATAACAGAACCAAGACTGTGACGGAAATGAGGGAGATCTTGAAAGATGATTGGTTCGGAGGAGGTGCAGTCTCAATTGGCTGAAGCTTGACCTGGGACATCAGCAGATGCTCCAGGTGAGTCCTCCGGAATGAAATTTCAGATTTAGGTTTGAGAATACGTTGGCCAAAGGGGAACTTGAGCATTTAATCTACTGTCTTTATCCTGCTGAAAGAGGCAACAACAAATTTTTCTTACAGATGGTGCTAAATTCTTACTTGAAATAGTCTCAATAATAGTGTGCAAATGGTACTTTTTCACATATTTATTTTTTTATCATATCAAAGCAGTTATATCCAAATGTTTTCTTTCTAAAGCTCGTAGTTCTAGTTAAAGTTCCTGTGGTGTTTAGTCAATGCAACAGGTTTAAGTTTGTAATGGGCGCCTAAACCCAAACACAAAGATTTATTTTCTCACTATATGAATGAGCTCAGAGAAGAGTAGGAGGTTTTCAATTGCAGGTTTAAATGCTAAAATATTTCAAGGCTTAATTAACACATCTTTACAAAAAGGTGGCTAATGGGAAGGCTTCTGTACAGTACATAGTGGTAGTGTGATATGGGTTCTCTGTGTGCTGCAGTGCTTGACACTGATCACAGGGAGGCAGTAGCACTAAGCTGACAGCATGGCCTCAGACCTATTTAATAGCTTCAACTATTAGTAACAACTTGAGAGACTCCTGTTACTAAGTTACAATACATATATATTCATTAAAAACATTGTTTTCATACAGTTACTATAAACCTTTATTTCTGTTAAGACAATTTTCTGCTTTCAACTAATGAAATCAACTATTAAGATAAAAAAAAATTACATCAGAGCCATCATAAAAAAAAACATTTAATTTGTAAAACAGAAATGTTTACCTGTATACATTCTAAAAGATTTGTAGGTTCTACAAATTAAAGATTTATAGGTTCAATGAATGGTTCATGACCTTTGATTGAATATATTTCCTCATAACTCATCTTGTAATTGACTCTATGTACAAAAGTCTGTTATTAATTTTAAAACACCAGTGCAGAGCAGATAATTCGATGCCATTTCTATTACCTCTCAGATGGTTTATCAAAACATATTTTCTTATTAAAAGGATATTTTCAGTCTAGCCTAATTTCCAGGTTTTAAGCATCTAAAAGAGTTGCTTTTACTTATGGGTTTGTTTCATTGACACAAGTCGAAGCACTTCTGATACCTAATCCTAATTCCAGTTTTCTAATTTTCTTTAAGGTTGCTTTAAACCTACAGAAGAGTCAACTCATGTTTCAATAAAAATCAAAAGCTTTTTCCTTAATTTGTTCTCCGTGAAACATCTCGATCACCTTGGTTTGCATTTTGATCAACAATGATCTGTTCAAATTTTTGAGTTTATTATTTACAGCATATTCCCCAAGACAATCATTCAGCTATCAGATCCAATCAATCAAGCATGTTTAGTCCGTAAATATGTTTGGCCTGATGTGCCAGCAACCCAGCTGTTGAGCATCTGCTTAGATAACCTATGAGGTGATGATGGACCCCTGGTAGAGAAGGTGTAAATAAAAAAACATCCCAGTTTCTGGAGGAGAGGTGCTCAGTGTTAGCAGATGATAGCTGTGCTGAGTGTAAAAAAAAGGAATTAATGCACTGTAACATTTTTATGTGACATTTCTTTTTTTTTTTCGCGAAAATGAAGGTTATATAAAAAATCTAAATCAAAAAGTTTTGCTGTTGTTGATTGGTTGGAGAAGGATGTTCAATGGAAAATTAAAGAATTATCCCCGAGAACAGGTCGGGTTGTTTTAACGTTCTTGTATTCTCAGATTCAGTGTCTTGGTTTGCTGGTGAAGATTCTCAGTCATCCAGGTCATGGTCATTCCAAAATATTGGAAAAAGTTGAAAAAAGTAAAAAAAAACAAAAAACAACTGGGTTTGGCAGGCCAACAAACTCAAACACTCCCCATTACTAAGGGGTGGTCCTGTTTTTCTGGTTTAATTTGCATGTTTTCTAAGCCAAAACAAGGCTTTGTTTTGGACCACTCTATAATGCTTATACCTCAACCCTAATTCTAACATTTTGAATTAAAAAAGCTTCCTGGATGGGAAGTAAAATGTCTTTGAACTTGGAAAACAAAGTCCAGTGGTTTGTTTTTTATTATTATTCTTTTTTTTTTATTGTATTATATTTTTTTATGTTTCTTGGGTTTCTTTTGCCTTACAACAGGATGCATTTTTCTTGACATAAAGTAGAAAATTTATTTTCTCCAGATTTATCATTCTTTTTGCAGAGTTAACGAAGATAATGCCAACTACAAAACTATTGTGTTTACATATAGTTTGGGTTTGCAGGTATTATTAGGAACCTATGATTTCAGAAATTATTTTTTTTATAAAAAAAGAATTATTTAGCTAAGCCTTCTGGAGGAAAGGAATCTTCCAAATGCACCCAGACACCCTGTTTCCAGGGCAGATCATGTTGTGTGTTTTCTACCCAATGGGCCACAGTAGGTTTGGCCTCCCTTATTATCATATTGTTGCCATGGAGTTTCAAACTTTGGACAAAGAGTAGCAGTTTTCTGGGGTTTTGTTCAAGCTGCATTTCCTAGCGAAGATGAGTGTTTTTTCTACAAAGTGCCTTCTGGTTGACAAAGGTAACCTCTATTGGAGAAAGGGAAATTTAGGTGGGATTTTGGTGCGGAAGTGTACATAGCATTTGCATGTGTTTGAAAGTTCTGTCATGTTGCAGCAAAATAACACATGTATGTGTTACTGAGATTTGATATGACAGAACAACGCAATTGATGCGAAGTCCTGCAGAGGAAAGAAAGTATTACAGACCTTCAAAATTCTTTTAAAAAACTTAAATCTGAAAAGTGTGGCTTATATCTGTATTGGACAGCTTTACTGTGACTTTCCATGATGCAATTTGTAAAACTTTATTTTTTAGGAAATAAGTTCTATCTTTGTGTATTTCAGTATCATGCTAAGTAAATCTTTTGTATAAAGCTCTCAGAGGTTTTTTTAGAGAACATCCGCTTACAAACGGCATCATGAATACAAACATGCAAAGTTAATGGGTCAGGGAGAAGGTGGTAAGAACAAAAGATGATACCAGTGTCTCATGGTACTGTTTAATCTTTTATTTCAAAATGGATGCAAAATGTTTCAAGACATGGCCGTCCACCTAACTCTGGATGAGCCGCAGAAGTCCACACCTCTCGTGGATCTCGGAAAAAACTAACACAAGACATCACGCTTCATTCAGCAGTTACACAGTAAATACGCTGGTTTCAGCCTCATGCTGTGGTGATGCTTTATAATAGCAGAGACAAGCAAATCATACATGATGGAGGCAGAAGACATGAGGTTGTTTTTATCATCTAACAGGACAACCAGCTTAAAACTTAAACATTCCTAAAATAGAAAGTTTACAGTGAAGCAGATTCATTTGTTCTGATGATCCAAGTTAAACTCCTAACAAACAAGATGGAATTTAAACTTAGATTATGTTTTAGAACTTGAAAAATACTGTTCCTATAATCTCTCCATCCAATACGATTGACTTTGAGCTTTCTTCTTTGTCCTTAAAGGTAAAACAAATGGTTTAGACATACCAAAAACATTTCATCAAAGGAAAATTTAAAGGTAATAAGAATTTAAAAAAAATATTTATCTTTATTTATAAAAAAAAGTTTGACAACAATGCATAATACTCCCTCCACTTCCCAAATATCTTATTTTATGCTAGTTTGTAACCAAAATTCTGACCAAATCTGGTAACACTTTACAATAACCATCATTTCTAAAGGGTAAAGAGACCATTTTTTAACAATTAACAGATTGTTTCTATAATAATTTATAAACTGCATCTAAAACATTTATAAAAGTTAAATAGATCATATTGCCTTGCAATGTTTATCCCTAACCCTAACTAACATCAGTTGACTTAAGACCTGAACCTCACCTTTATTTTTAATTTAACTTGCCCTTCTCATGTTAGACTTGTCTTTACCCTAACTTCAGTGAGTTTAATAACCCAATAAATGATCTATTTACCTTTTATAAATTATTTAGATGCGGTTAATAAATGGTAACCCAAAATCCATTTAGGCTTATTGTTCCTTCATGACAAAATGTGGAAAGACATATGAAGGTTTTCACATTGTGCTACAGCAGCGCCCTCTCACAATGACAGGAATACAGAGGATGGATCACAGTCTTGCCTCTTCCTCTGGATCTTGTTCACAGATCTATACCCACATGCTGGCTTTGTTTGTTATGATGCTTGCTTGTTTTACTAATGCCACAGAAGGGTGAAGAAGAAAAAAACCTACCCGAACCACTGAGATGATGACTGAGAGCTGTTCTCAGCAGTTCCCAACATGTGTTTGTTTTTGCCTGTGCTGATCATTTAGTGTAATGTGAGCAGTAGACGCCTTCATCCTGCTCCTCCTCTGTTACTGTACAGATGGCTCCAGAGAGGACGTAAATATGAGCGCTGAGACAGAGAAAGCAATTATCATCTCTTATGAAGAGCAAGGCCATCAGAATAACAAGCAGCTGCTCCCTTTCCAGCTTCCTTGTCCTCGTCTTCATTCATTGTCTCCTGACTCAGGTGAGTTTCCACCCAGAATCTGCATTAAATATCCTAATTAAACAATCAAGACTATGTTTTAGGATATAATAAAATAGAACAGAATAAATAAAAAAATGAATAGAATACAATATAGCAGAATAGAATAGGCCCTGTAACATGAGAAAATTCAAGTGTACCACCAATTGACAGGAAAAATGGAAACTTGTAGCTTCACACATAGATAAACATAAAAAAACAGATTAAAGATTTATAGTCTAAGGAAAAACAAACCAGAGTAGCAACATTTTAAAGCAACATATCATTCCTATTCCAAGAATGGGAAAGGAGAATTATAATTTAAAAGAAAAATGGGTGAAATGCAAATGTATGTTTGTGCATTTAAAAAAGTATACTTTAATTAACACTTATTTTTAATCTAAGTTTTTCATAAATAAAAAACAAGTCTGCTTGTATACTGATTGTGGTTGAATAAAAAGACAGCAGTCAAACTTTGAACAAAGGATCGGTGGTTTTGTTAGCCGATGAAAGAGGCATATGTATGCATGGCCTCAGGTTGCAGTCAGCTAGCTGATCTGTGAGCATCAGATGAAGGAGAAACAAAACAAAGTGAAACTTTATCCCAAAGTTTGGCTTTCAGTCTTTTTATTGTACACTTTTGTGATGGTGGACCACCGTCTGACCAATACTGTGACCACAAAAAATTATTGCATCCCTTAAGCTAGTGCACATTTTCACAACTACAAAACCCCTTTCTGTTTTACTTAGATTTGGGGTCATAAACAGTTACAAAAAATCCAAACAGTTATCTAAATAGATGAAATATACATCTAAAGTTCTTTCAAAAGAATTACGTAGTAATTTTAAAAGAAGGAAATAAACTTAAGAACTTTTTTTTACTAAAGAACAGGAAAGTTCTGACGGAGAACCATACATACTCATGACTACAGCAGATATTATGGGAATAACATCTGATAAAGGCCACCCACTAGTCTGGATGGGAGTTTTGATCCTTTCCTTGCTTTTAGTTCTGAGATTGTGGAAAGTCTCTTGAATCCAGGGTCTGTCGGATTTTGTTGGACTTTAATGAGATTAGGTTCTAGGTTTTTCCTGCCAGGATTTAGTTCCCATTTTCAGCTTTTCCTTGGTGGATTAATGGTGTGCTTTGGATATTTTCATGTTTTAGAATCCATCATGGATTGTAGAATCTGCTCAGTAGCATAGTGGATAGCACTGCTGCCTTGCAAAAAGAAGGTTCCAGGTTAGATTCTTAGCATGTTCTCCCTGTTGATGCGTGGGTACTCTCCGGGGACTCCGGCTTCCTCCCACAGTCCATAAACATGACAATAAGGTTAATTGGCTTCTCTAAATTCCCCTTAGGTGTGGGTGTGTGCGTGCATGGTTGTTTGTCTCTGTGTTGCCCTGTGATGGACTGGGGACCTGTCCAGGGTGTGCCCCACCTCTCGCCCATTGACAGCTGGAGATAGGCACCAGCACCCCTTGTGACCCCAGCAGGGATGAAGGGTGACAGAAAATGGATGGATGGATTCTGTAATATTTAGCTGTCCTGCTGCAGCAAACCCTTCTTTGACTTTCTTCCACCTCCATTCCTCACATTTGACTTAAGTTCTTTCTTAGTTGCAATGGTTCCGTCATTGCTCACCTCAGCTGCATGTTGTACTCATGTACGTTCTTACAAACCGTAGCAGGATTCTGCAGTAGCTGCCCTGAAAACATTTTAGTTTTTTCAATTCAGTTAAAATAAATATATAGTTTTTTTTATCCCAAAGGTAAATAAAATTATGGAATAATCACGCATCCTCTTGCATTCTGCTACAATATTCCCTGTATGGGCTGACCTGAACATGTTGCCAGCTATTTTGAGTTTCTTTCACATGTAGACTACTTTTCATACAAAACAATGATGATTTCTTTTTAATTTTTACATTGTTTTTTTTTTTTGACTACTTCTAACCTTGCAAGGTGCTGCAGTCTTCTTTCTGCAGGACCAAGCAGCTCTTTCTGTTGAAGCTTGGTGTTCACCCAATTCAAGGCCTCAATGTGTAAGGTTCAAATGGAGCTAACATCCTTTCCCGATACACACTTGTTTTTGCCTTATCAGAAATTTTTTTTTTAATCATTTAAAATAATAATAATTTTGTACTGCTTTATGTAACTCGAATTTTTTTCTGAACAGTTAAAATATGAATTAAATATCCAAATGTTAAAAAGTTAAACTGTTGTAGGTGGCCCCTATTTTTAGCCAGACTAGACATTGGAGTTTGAGGTCGCAAAGTGACTACTTCCCTCTGACCTTCATTCTTCTCCACTGATACAGTTGAAAATATTCAAACACTTCCATCCCATCATCTCAAAGCCTTTCTTCCTCTTTATCCCTTCATGCTCAGTCTCTCCTCCATCAGATCAGGTGTTTCTCCAGGCAGCAGCCATCTTTCAGCAGCTTCGAAGAGAGAAACCGGCGTCTCATCAGCTTCTGCAGTATGAAAAGAAGACCGACACGCTGCCGATCAGCAGTGGAGACAAAGCTGCAGAGCAACAAGCCTATCAGCTGGCTTTTAATACACTCAAATGTAAGACTTCTCTCACTGAGGTGAGAAATTTGTGTAAAACAAGCATCTAAGTGAAACAAAGAAACTCAAAGTGTAATTAATTGTACCTGCTCTCATCACCATCTCCTCTGACCTGAACGACCTCTGTGTTGGCAGCTTTATCTCTGTAATGAAAAGCATTTGCTGCAGTGTGCGACAGCTCCAATATTGGCCTGGTGAATAGCAACTTCAACATGCAGTCTGTAGATTAAGTAGCATACAGTCGTATGTTTGACTTCTCCATATGAGAGCAAATAATTTGAGCTGGAGGCACAGCAGACGCCTGGGCGGGAGGTGATAAGAGGCGCATGAATATAAATCTGCTTTATTAGTGCTGATGAGCAGTTATACAGGGCTGCTTGATTAAACAGGAAATAACTGAAAATACATACTTTTAGATTTGGTCAAAGAGGAAAATATGAAGTGGTACCAAGATTGAAACGTTTGTGTTTTTTCCTGATGGACACAAGCTGGGATTTTCTTATTTTAAATGTCGCTGCAAAACAAGCTTCAAAATAACCACCTTTAACTAAATATTTGTTAGTCTTTTACTTGATTTTTGCAGGATAAACTGGGCCATCTCAGTAAATACTAGGATTTCCTGTAATCCGACAGTAACTTGTAGATGATGTAAGGTCTTTCTAAAAAAAAAAAATTTGGTGATAAAATCAAGAAAAAAATATTACTGTATATAAAATATATAGTCTATATTAGTGTCAGTGCAAAAAGAGAAACAAGTTTGTAGCAGCAAATTTTTTTGTGTTGTGCCACACCGGTTTTATTCAGCCATGTGGAAAAAGCTCTGCTGAAGTCCTTTGCAGAATGTTTGTCTTCAAGCAAAGATGGCCTTCAGATTCAGCAAGTTAAAAAGGAAAAAAGGAAATTAAGAAATGTTGCAGACTGAACAGTTTTTAGATAGGTATAATTAGTTTTATATCCAAACATCTATTCTAGACATATCCATAAATGTAAAGTATATCTTCTTTCTTAACCATAAATCATCTGTAAATTAGTAAAATTGTAGACAGAGTTGTGCTCATTGCTTTGCAGTCTGTGCAATTGGTAGAATCCCTACCCTGAACACTGATCCAGTTTTTTTCTGATCCAATCTGATACCGATACCTGGGCTAAGTGTATCAGCCCAGCCGTTTCAACTGCTGAATGAATGAACCATACATTTTGCCATGTGAGTGAAGGCTTTAGCCTTCACATAAACACTGCTAAAAGGTAGCAAATTAACACAGATAAAAATGCATTATATATATATATGATATTATTTATTAACTACTAAGCAGCAAAGAGAAGGAAATAATAGTTCCATGCAAATTATACTGGATTGGACCCCAATCCCCAATATCAAATTGCCAATATCCGAACCAGCTAATAATTCAATATCAGACCTGATATCTGATACAGATATCGGATCGGTACATCTCTATTTATAAGTGTCCCTCAGGACCAGTATTAGTTGTGAAATTATTTCCCCCGTGTTGCTTTTTCTCTCTCCTTTTGTCCTGGATTCAGATCATCCTACGTCAAGATTTTTCTTTTTTTTCTCTTACTCTGGATTTAGATTACTTAGACAATAATTTACCTTGCGAGTCAAAGGCTCCACGATAAAAAGCAGTATATATGTACATAAGGGGAGCTTTATGCTACATGCCTCCAAAAAGCACTGTTTAAAGGGGTCATAGAATGATTATATAGGGTATTTGGTGCTGGTCCTTAAGGTCTCTGAATAGGGTGTCTAACATTGGTTAGGCTGAAAATGGCATATTTGCTGGTCTATGAGCCCTAATGAGAGGTTGGTTAAAAGCCTTAGAATGAAACAACAGGTTTTCTTCCTTTTACGGTATGCTCATAATTATTTAGATGAGCTGCATGCTGATTGGTTGGTTTACAACGAGCAAAGCTGCCGAGCAAAAATACATCATAGCAACAAGCACTCACTCACTGAAACATCAAATTGTTGATATGGTAGGGTGACCAGACGTCCTCTTTTTACCGGACATGTCCTACTTTTCATACCTAAAACAATGTCCACGGGAGATTTCAAAATCGTCTGGGATTTTGGTCGACTACAGCCCAACAGAACTGAGCCATGAGCTCTGGGGCTGGTCGGGGCTGTGGACGGAGCGACTGAACCCGACCCGGTGACCCCGCAACTTTGCAGGGATCTTCTGATCTTCTGACAAAAATCCATGCCTGTCGAGTCTTCGGATCCTTGGGAAGACTGTGAAAATTTTCCCCTTTCTCCTTGCAGCCTGGAACACTGCATTTAAGATTGTGAACCAGTGGGCTGGACTGTATGTAAATTTCGGGGCGTGACAAAAGTACAGGCCAGAACCAAAAAAAGGCAACTTTGAATTTGCCCATTTTAGGGTGGAAGTTTATAATTGTCAGATTTGTGGAGAAAGGAGGTGTCGATGGGGTTTGAACTTCTCTGTACGTCCATTTCACCCACTGCACTATAGTTATTCAACTATGACAATGTAAACTCTGTTTTGCATTCTATGTCCCCTTCAAAACTGAGTAAACTATGAGCAGGAGCTATGCTCCTGGCCGTGTGGCTTGAGATATAAATCTCTCCTTGCAAGGACTTTGCAAAATAGACGGAACAAAAAACTTTTGTTTTACAAATTTACCCCCTTTGAAGACATTGCCTGTAAGTTTTTAGCAAATTCCTGGTTAGCAGCAAGGTTCAGTTCTCAGCCAGATGGTGAACCAAGCGAAGTATTAAGCAGATAAAAACTAAAAATATGGTATTACCCATGAAGCACTGAGCTTCTGATGATTGGTAAACTAATGTCTGATCTCTGTAACAATTAGTTCTACTTAAATTTCAAAAGCGCCGCAATTTATATTTTTTCTTTTTTTTATGTAATAACTGCTGATTTTCCTTCTTAGACCAAGAATTACTGGAGACCATGATCACTGACAGCTGCTTCCACACATCTCTGCATATTGTGAGTCCAATTTGGTTGAACTTTTGAGTTTTTTTGACTACGCACCGTCTGGGAATTTACACTTTCTTTCTTCTGCCGAAAGTGACCATAATGACTATAAAGTCATTCCAGGGAGACCGGCAGGGATGCAGTTTAAAGCCCATTGGTATTCAAATCTTATTTAGTCTGGGTGGTAACAAGTGACAAGTGGTGCATACCAGAGAGAAGATGAAACACTCTGCAATTTGTGGACTGTAAATTATATCATAAAACAATGTGCAGTGGCACATATACTGATAAAGCCATGTTTATGTGTAGGTGGGAATGGTAACTTTATTGAAGGATGGAGGGAATGTAAAATATGCAGAAGTGCTTTTAGTCTGAAAGAAAAACTATAAAGCCACCACAGATCTCTTTATTATTCAGCACACATCTTTTATTCTGCATCCACATTCTGACCTCCAGACACAGTAGTATAGGTGTCACCCAGTTTCTTCTGGTTTTTCAGGAGCAGATTTATCTTTTTTAAATGAAGATCTGTCCAGAGGTGAAAGGAGCTGCATTTCGATTACACACATAAAATATGTTATGTATTCTCGAAAGAAAGAAACATAAAACAGCATTGTACAGAAAAATGTGTCAATTTGATTTTGCGGAGAAAGCAAAATATTTAGTAAAACATTAATTGAAAGTTGAAAGAAAGTTCATCTTTGATTTAGATTTCATAACCCATCAACTAGTTTGACCCTTTTTATACCTTGAGAGTAAAGAAGAAGACCATTGTGGACACTGCCAGAGCTCCCAAGTTTACCGAAACACTACCAGCAGTCGAAAAATGGTCATGCCACAAATGTTTTCCTTCATTTCCTCTGTCCTCTCTTTAGGTGAGAGCATGTGTGTCTTTATTATGATTAAACTACTCCTAGTATGCAAATATATATCAGAGGCCTTAGAGGGAGCTGTGATTAAACACTTACCGTATTGGCCCGAATATAAGACAGTTTATAAGTCATTTTTTGCTAAACACGATGTGAAAATATAAGGTCGTCTTGTAATTGGGGTCTAACCAATTATACAGGCTGCCTTTTGTCTGGGGTCGCTACACTAATGCAACAACAGAGGGAGGCAGTTTTTTTGTGAAGCCAGTGACCTCATGGAGATGGAAAACTTAATGCAATATTTTTTCAATAAAATTGATAGCACTTGAATCCAAAATAGTTTATTTAAACCAAATACAATTTGTTTTTCAGTCTTTTTTTTTTTTTTTTTTTTTTTTTGAAAAAGCAAAGAAATGTTAATGGAAAGAGGGGGTCATTATAATCAGGGTCATCCNACTTGAATCCAAAATAGTTTATTTAAACCAAATATTTTCCATTTCTCTTTATTGTGTTTTTTTTTTTTTTTTTTTTTTGTTTCTGAAAAACTGGTCATGGAAAGAGGGGGTCATTATAATCAGGGTCATCCAATATTAGGGTCAGTACGGTACTGTATGAAAAAACATTCCCCTTATGGTTTCATAAGGGAAAATAAGCTGTCAAGAGTGGTCGAAATATGGTCAAGCTACGGCCTTCATTATTATTCTTTTCTCCTGGCCCCCATCTTTACAAACTCTGACTGGTTGTCATGGTTGCGGGTTGTGAGGGTACAGCCTTTGGGAGGACGGTGCACGGAGAGCCAATACAGCTCATCTAGAGGAGGGCTGAATAAGAAAATCTTTAGGACATGCTGTCTGCCTAATCTGAGAGGAATTTTCTTATACAAACAGCAAAAACATGCTTTTGTTAACTTATTTTGAGTAGTTTTAAATGTAGCATAATATGGGACCTTTAGGTTTACGTGGAAATTAAACAAAAATGGCCTGAATTATTTATTTATTTTGCTCTGGATTAAAAACAAAGCATTTAGAACCTTCCTTTAAAATGAGCCATAAGTTTTTTCCGTCAGTGGAATAAATACATATGAGTAAAAAGAAAAAGTATTTATACTGAGTAGCTGTTCCTTACCAGATGGCGCAGCCTCCCCAACAGGAGTCAACATCATTGTTACATAACAAAACCATACAGGCTCGTAACATACGAGTGTTGATGCCGTTGCTAATGTGATTAATTTCCACCGTTATGCTGATGATACCTCACTATCTATTTGTCAAACATGTTTGTGAATCTACCCCTAAGACAGATACAGGGATGTCATGATTATGTCGTGAATATATATTCAAACCAGGCAGAAGTTATTGACTTTGGATCTAAGTCTTTGAGAAAGAAGCTGCTTAGTCAGTTATTTCTTCAAATTGGCTTCCATTAAATAGGTAAAAACAACTTTGGTGTCATTTTTGATCAAATCTTGTCTTGTAAGTCACATATCAAGATGATTTCTAGAATTTCCTTCTTTCATCTTAGTGCTTTTGCAAAAATTAGAAATACCTTGTCATCGAGTGGCAGTAAAAAACTAGTCCAAACTAGTTCATGCAATCAGCTGGTTTGCCTCATTTAGAAATATTTTAACCAATATGACTATATGATCTGATTGAATTGCGTCTATTAATCTCTTATAAATAAACTGAATTGGCTCAATAGTGCTTCCTAGAATTTCTATGAGTAGGATAGGATGCAGATTTTTTAGTTATTAGGTTCCTCTCTTGTGGAACCAACCACTAGTTTTAGTCGTTGATGCTGACTGCTTTTACGATCGGTCTAAAACTTTTTACACCATAATTAGAGTAGTGTAGAGCTCTATCTGCAGTTATGTGCTCAGGCTGCGGGAGGACATAGCTACAGCTTTAGGGAGTAGAGGGGGGCAGATGTACAGCCAATAAAAACCAGAGCTTTAAGACACTTCTTCATGGCTCTGCACCCTTATAGCATTCCTGATCGCTCTCACTCATCCATTTTACTGTTTAATTCATGTAAAGCACTTTGATTGTCTTTGTAGGAATTGTGCTGCCCAAATAAACTTGAATTGCCTTGCCTGCATGCTCACTATAAAGGGTTGCTTCAAGCAAATGATACAAAGCATGCAATATAATCCAGGCGCAGTGAATTCAACAATGACTTGATGCAATTAGCTGGATTATCTTTATTAAGTCAATATAACTGAATCATGTTTAGTTAAAACATATTCGATGTTAAGTGCATTGATATTAAATTAAAATGTGCTGTGAGTTGGTCCTAAATAAATTAACTGAATTTATTTTTTACAGATCTGTATCATTAAAGTACATTAGAAAGCCTACTGTGTTTGCAATGCATTGATACTGGGATACAGGATGGGCAGCGGAGGAGCACAGAAATACAATCAAACAATCTCAAAAGTCAATCTTAAAGATGTAATTTCATTGCCACTAATGAACAGTAATCTCTTTTTCAGTACGGTGACTTGTTACCGTTGGCAATGGTGATGCTGTTTGACTTCCAGCAGAGGAAGTTTCGGCTGCGTCAGTGTCCAGCTGAAGGAGAGCAGGAAGCTGTCCCTGAGGTCAGAGACCTGGAGAAAAGCCTGAAAAGGTGTTTATAGATGCCGCACATTCGCGTTTAAAATCACTATTTAAAACAGTGAAGTTGACATTGTTTTTGTGTATTGCATTTCTTCCAGGTGGAAGACCAAGCTGGCAGCCTCCCTGGCTTGCTTCAGAATTAAACACAATCTGCGGAGTGTCTCCTGTGTTCTGTCCAATTCCATCAGAGTTAAAGAGCACAGGGCTAAATCCCTACCACTTTATGCATGGGTCAACACTTTAAACACCAGGTACTGCATGGCTTCTGGTTCTCATAGAAGCAGAAGCTCCAAGTATTCTTTATTTCAAAGTTGTAATGGCCTCTGAGTTGAGATGATGGCAAAATTTATGCCGTATGTCTTCCTCAAAACCTGGTGAAAAAAAAATTATTAGAAATAGATCTGTGTGTTAAGTTCTGTATAAAACTAGAGGGCACTTAAAGAAGAAAAACCCAAATTTTAAACAAAAAAATTCTGTTACATAAAGTCTAAAGGAACTTTTCTTGAAACTAATAATGGGCTTTTACATGCTCTTGCATGCATTTAATAGGTGATCCCTCTCGGGAGCAGGTAAAGGGTTGTGTATGTGCACTGTTTTTAAAGTGGAGAGGACGAGTCTTTTCAAAAATTTGCTTAGATCCTCCTCTATACCTTTAATGTTGGATTAGTTTTCTTGTTTTAATAAAGATTTTTTTCTAAATGCTTTATTGATAGATGTTGCTGAAATTAAAGATGCTGTATTTAAGGAGTTTTACAGATCTTTAGCGGGGCTGAATTAAAACATCAACTATTTCTGCAAGCACCAGCTGAATTGAAAAGGAGGTGCTGGGAATGCAGAGCAAGAGAAAGCAGATGAGAGATTAAAAAGAAAATAAAGCCATCTCCTTCCATAATGGATGATGGGCAATCTGATTATCGAAAGACAGACCGATACAGAAGATACTTCCTACCTACAGCTATCAACGCCTACAACAACTCGATGGAGAAAAAAAAACACTATGAGTTATTGCAGCATTTAATTTCCCTTTGGGATTAATCAATTACTTTTGAATTGAATTGAAATCAAGGGGATGGAAAAGTTGCAGTGTCAGGTTATTAGTCAGTAAACTTTAAGGAGCAAACAGGTGATTTTCTGCCACAGTTAAGCCGTTAACCAGAGAAGATTGCTTTACCTGTTTTACAGTCTGTTAATTGGGTACCCACTGTGTTAAAGCAAGCATTTTATAAGCCCTGTTCTCTGCAGCCTTGATGAGGTGTGTGAGCTGCTACATGGTGCCAACATGAGTGAAGTAAAGCAAGTGGTTGACCTCACCGATTCAACATTTTCCAAGGACCCCCTCTGTCCAGATACGCTCATTTTCTCCCAAAACCTGTGTGTACCTCTCCAAAGCAGCAGCCTCACAAACACACATGTGCTGAACATACAGGTAGGCTATGTATGATGTGAAGGTCTGTTTTTAAAAGCACATCAAGAAACAAACTTTTACAGAATAAAACTATTTTCTGGTGCAAAATACACAGTATTTTTTTATACCAATATTTTTTTTGTATATAACATATTACCCTCATGTTTAATAAGGGTAAAATTCACGCTCAAAATCACCAGGGGTTTGATTCGATCAAAGATCTTTGCAGTCTGTTGCTGAAAAACTTATTGAATACTTCAGAGGGGGATTTTATTTAAGTGTTGAAATCATTGGTTTTCAGCATGCGTAAACAAACATGTTTTTTTTTTACCTACTAAATCACTGAGAGAAAAAAAAATCTTAGAAAAAAAAACAAGCTGGCTCTCAGTTTTACAGAAAAATAAACCAAATGATCAACTAAGGTTAAATCCTCAGTTAAATTGAAAGTTGAAAATTGTGTGATTTCCTTTTTAATTGCCAAACATGTAATAATGTAATGTTTTATCTTTGTAGGACAGGAGTGTGTGTGTGGCAGTGAGCGTTTTACAGCCTCTCCTTTTTGAGAAAGGCGACGTCTTGGTGGCAGGCTCCTTCTCAGCTCTCACCCTGGCTCACATAGCCGTAGCAGCCGCTGCTCGCTCCGGCCAAGTGTTGGTGTGCGGCGCTGACCACACATCTTTGCAGAATGAAGAGATGAAGGCGCTGCTCTCAAAGATGGACATCAAAAGTGAGAAACTATTCAGTCAGTTCCATTAATATAAATAGAGGCATTTCATAACAAATCTCATCCAATAGTTCTTTACAAACAGATCTGTGCGGTATTATGGAGACGCTCAGGTTTACTAAAGAATATCCCCTGTTTTGCTTGTGGTTTCAATCAAATAATCATCAAGAAAAGGTCAATTTCAGTCAAAGATAACTGAATAAACACAGTAATGCCCCATTAAAAATACAACAGAGACACAACCAGTGAGACAAAGTAAAAAAAAAAGAAAAATGATTTAGACCGGTCTCCATCCCTTATTAAGACATGAACATCATGCTCATGTCTTAATAAACATATTAAACCTGAAGATGGTTAGGACTGAACATGTAATCCACAAAGTCCAGCTTCAGCAAAGTAAAACAGGCAGAATCTTGATGAAGACCTCTTTAATTTTGGTCCCTTTTTCTATAAAGTCATTTGCATTAATCTTGATCTTCAGGGTTTCACACTGTTTTACAAATAAAATGGAACTTTAGCTAAAAAGACCAACAAAGGAAGAGGTTGTGTTGAAGAACATGATCTCCTCTGACAGGGTCAACAACTCTGTGGGAGAACATCAGCCAAAAAGCTGTGGACTCATGGGTATAACCAGCAGCTTAATGTGATGAAGGGATAGTGAAGCCGAAGATTAACTTGCATTTGAAACCTACATATCAAGTTGCTAAACTCTGCACTATTGTTGACCTGAATTTTTCCCAACACCCAGGTCAAAAAAATATACTATAATAATATGTTATTAAAGAATTTAGCCTTTAGCCACAGAGATGAATATAAAGAAATATATTTACTGAACATTGTAAACAACATTTTTCTTTTTCTTTATTACAGATGTCAAAGTCCTGCCAGAAGCTTTTTGCAGTTTGAATGAGTCAAACGCCACTGTAGAGAGACTAAAGGTCATCATAGTGTTGCCTCAGTGTTCTTCTTCAGCTCTCAATGACCCAGTTGCCACAATGTACAGTGAACATGGAGGTATGCCTTTTAAACATCCGCTCTGATCTTAACAGGCAAATATTGGCTTAGTTTAGAGTGAGAATATAAAAACTAGGGGAGTGTTACAGATATGGCCAAAAGCTCAGAGTCAACAGCTAGTCCACTAAGCTGTCACTTTAATTGAATTCTAATCTGTTTATTTCTATAGCGCCAATTCACAACACATGTCATCTCAAGGCACTTTACAGTTCACCAGATCATACAGTCAAATGAATTCAAAGTTATCTAAGGAAAACCAATTGATCGCATCGACTCATTGACTCGAAGGCAATGCCTCACACTAAGAATGCTTGTAGTGACAGTGGAGAGGAAAAACTCCCTTTTAACAGGAAGAAACCTCCAGCAGAACCAGGCTCAGTGTGAGCGGCCATCTGCGGAGGCCGACTGGGGTTCAAGGAGACAGAAGCAGAGATACAAAAAGCAACTGTAAAAGGCAGCCCCGTCCAGGAAACACACAGCCAGGCAGACGAGCTCTGAGCCAGCTCCCATGTCAGAAGATGAAGAGAGCACATCCAGCCAGTCACAGTCAGAGAAACAGGACTACACTGAAAAACAGGCCAAAAAGCATTTACCTCAGTTGACTCCTTTTGATATGGAGCAGATGCGGCTCTTCTCTGAGCCTCTCCCAGAAGACCTAGCTCCATCTGGTGTCAACCCACCCTGTGCAAAAAGCTAATTTCAGCCGCTTGTATCTGGTATCTCCTTCTTTCGGTCATTATCCAGATTTCATGACCATAGGTGAGCGCAGGAACATTAGACTGAGCAGTAAATAGTAGCCTCATTAGACATACACTTGCATTGTGTAGTTGACTCCAGCAATCCTTTACACCTTGCATATATGCAAGAATGGTGGAGAGGAAAAAATATATTTTAATTGGAAAGAAACCTCCAGCAGAATCAGGCTAAATAGGTGCGTTTTACATCAGCATTTTTTTTATCAAATCAGAAAAGCTGGATGGAAACAAACATCAGCATTAAAAAAACTTCCCAAATTCGCAAAGAGGTTTTTCATTCTTACTTGAGGTGGTTTTTGGCTTTTGTGAAAAGGGGTTAATGCACAAAACGGGAGATGGAAATCAACTCTGACGTAGCAAACTTTGCCTCACATGACAAATCAACTGTTTCCCCTGTCACCATCGTCATGGATGTTTACTTTTATGAGCATAGACATTGCTGGAAGCAACATTGCCATTACAAGCTGATATGTTAACGTATTAAGAACTTGCCCTATGGCAACACATTTATTAAAACTTTGCTCCATTTCTTATCTGTGCTTTATGCTAGATTGCAGCCTATACTTCCTGTTAATTACAGCTATTTCAGTTGGATAGAAACACCACTAGTGTGAGCCGCCTCTTTCCACTGAGGCAACAGGGAGACACAAGCAGACACACAAAAAACATAGAGGCACTGAACCATAAATAGTTTCTATGTTAGAAAACAATGTAACACATTTTCAGTAGAATTACAGTAAATAACAGACAAGAAGTGGCCAATAAAGTACTGTAAAAGTGTTGTCAATTACTGTAAAAAATAATTACAGTATCTTATTGCATCATATGGTATTATTTTATATTATGAACTACCATTAATATTCTTAATCTTCTTGTTTATAACAGTATCTTTTATTCCATCATAATACAACTACCATATCTTTCTGGATATAAGTCGCAGCATAGCATTAGTCATAGGGACATTTCAGTATACTACAGTGTATTTACATGAATAATTCAGGGAAGATTGTTTACTCGTAATAACCATGTCACTCAGGGTGCCAATAGAATTAGCTAGTACAGTTAGTTCTACTGAGAAAACAAATTCTCTCAGATTGCCTGAATTGCAAATAGTGTCCTAATTTGTGCAGCTTCATTAAATCCTCACAAACATAGCACAGAACTGACTGTTGGAAATTACTTGCAGACTAGGTTCACAACAAAGTGTCCGTTTGTTGGTGATCTCTGAGCCAGAAAACTCTCAAACTATTTTCTATACTATTTTCTCTAAAAAAAAATTCTCCTCACCACACAAATAGTAAAATAAATCCATCTATGTCAACTTCTGGCTCATTGTGTGAAGTTGTCATGGAAACGCTATTTGATGACATAGGGAGATGACAGTTTAGAATATAGCTGCGGATGAAGAGTCTACAACATAGTTGAATTTCAAAATATTTATGGCTTTCATAAACTATGAGTCCAGATAAACTGCAGTTGTCAAATGACTTTGTTGACAGACTGGAATGTACTTCCGGATTTATCCCACGGCTCTGTCTCCAAAAGCAAAATCTTCTCTCTGACCACCCAGCAGTCCAGACTGCTGGCACATTCTTTGACCTGTGAGTATAAACGGTGATATAGAAACACAAGCACAAACACTGTGGCATTAACATATTGTAGATTTAAACAAGCAGAGCTGGTGATTTTTAGTGTTCTTCAGTACATTCATCAATATCATAAAAGCGGTGTGAGTAAGTAACTTTGGATTTCTTCTTTGTGTTAGTTTCAAAGGTCCAGACAGTGGTCTACTGCACCCGCTCAGTGTTTCCCGAGGAAAACGAACAGCTGGTTAGAAGAGTGTTGGAGCAAGCGCATACTCATCCAAAACTGCTGCCCTTTAGGTAAAAACATCAAAGCTTCTACCATAAAAGATCTTAATACAGTTTCTTAACAGTTTACTTACAAATCTGTTGGTCTATGCAAACAAAGCATTTCCTTTGAGTTAAAATTGGAATAGGTTAAATGCATTTGGCAGAAATCAAGTTCTTTGATATTATAAAGCATTTTTATCATTGATAATTTTTCCTTGTTTTAAATGTATATGTCTATTAGGATGACATGCCTGAAAAACAGATTCTGCTACAAGCAGAGAAATTGAGTGAGTTGCTTTTTGAAGTAACACCACTTTAGAATCTTATGCTGAACACCTTGACTTCACCCCTTGGTTTCTTTTATTCTTTGCCAGATCCTCACAGTTTCTAGCTTCATCACATTTCGCTTCAGCAAACACATGCAAAGTACATTTTTCAACACCCTTATTTATAGATGTTGGAGATCGGCCTGTTTTTCAGTGTAGTCCTGTTTCTCTGACTGTGACTGGCTGGATGTGTTCTCTTCATCCTCTGACATGGGAGTTTGCTCTGAGCTTGTCTGCCTGGCTGTGTGTTTCCTGAACGGGGCCGCCTTTTACAGCTGCTTTTTGTATCTCTGCTTCTGTCCCCTTAAACCCCAGTCAGCCTTAGCAGATGGCCGCTCACACTGAGCCTGGTTCTGCTGGAGGTTTCTTCCTGTTAAAAAGGAGTTTTTCCTCTCCACTGTCACTACAAGCATTCTTAGTGTGAGGAATTGTATTTGAGTCAATGAGTCGATGCAATCAACTGGTTTTCCTTATATAGACAACTCTAAATAAATTTGACTGTATGATCTGGTGAACTGTAAAGTGCCTTGAGATGACATGTGTTGTGAATTGGAGCTATATAAATGAACTGAATTGAATTGAATTAACAGCAAAGAATGGTTGCAAAAGACATTCAAGCTTGTTGCTCCACAGACCAAGACCTGAACACACTGATACTTATGAGTCAGTGATGCATAACTCTGTAAACTGATTTTGGTCGAAATTGTAAAATGTTACCCAACATTTCCCTTAGGGAGAACGGCCCGATTTTCCCTGATGACGCCACATCGGGAGACAAAACAGATTCCAAGTTCTTCAGGCTTCAGCCCTCTGAGTTCACCAACGGCTGCTTTATAGCCAGACTGTCGCGGCAGGTGAGAGACGGAGGTCAGAGAAAATGTGAAATGTGGGAAGTGAAAAAAAAAATGCAGAGCTGAATGTTGTGCCGGAGATGGAAGTGAACGGGGGATTTTGTGGATGTGTGTGTTTGGTGTGTTGGAGAATTTATATCAGTGCGAGTGTGTCTTGGTTTGATTAGTTTGCAACAAGACCTTTGAGAAGTGCTGAGGCTGCACTCTTTTACTGTCTACTGGGAGGTCAGTCAGCTCGTTGGTGTGCATACACATACATACACACACACACACACACACCCATACACATACATGAATGCTGAGCACTGTACTGTGGAAACACTGCAGTGCTATTTCAATACTCAATAAAAAGATGAGTTGAAGACAAAATATGCTAAAACTCCTGATACATTTCAGTGCCTCAGAGAGAAAACCAAATGGATTATTCTGTGGCATCCCTCACTCCTTCTACCCAGCGCAGTCATGTTGCATTGGTTCATTGCTTCGTCTGCTTGTCTCTTTTTCTTTCTTCCCTTCTTCTCCTCACTCATAAAACAAGACAAGTACCATAGCAGGAAATTAGATGCTGCTGCTTTGATCCCTTTGCAGCTGGGTGTGTGTGTGGGTGTGTGTGTTTGTGTGTGTGTGTGTGGGTGGGTGAGGGGTCTCTGCAGAGAAGTCCCAGAGCCTTTACATCAGCCTGTACAGCAATCCAGGAATCAAGATTTGATCAATATTATGATGATCAATAGTGCTAAAAAGTGCATTTACCGTTGAATCTACTTCAAATCAAAACCATATGACTAATATCATATGGTTTTCCGCCTTGAAAAAGTATTCACACCCCATCTAAAATCAACTGTCATTACAGTTTTCTTAAGTGTTACATTGGTTTGATAAGATGTCATTAACTCTCTTAATTAAAGGAATTTACAAAGTGTTCAAACCTTCTCACACTTTATGTAATAAATTATCTTAATTGGGTTTTTATGCAATAGAGAAGAAGTGCCTGATGGTTGATTGGAAGAAAAGCAAATAAATGTTTTGTTATTTCTTCCAAACAAAATTATAGAAAATATAGCATTAGTTTTCTAGTTTACTTGTTTTTCCAAGAATTTCTAAAAGTAGAATGGGAGGCAGATCTCTTAGTTATCACACGCCTCTCCTGTTGAACCAACTGCCCGTTTTAGTCTGTGAGGCAAACACCCTCTCTACAGGCTAATCTTTCCTTTTCGATAAAGTTAATTGTTAACGTGTCTCAATTTATCCTCAGCTATTTCTATATTTATGCTGCTTTAGGCTTGCCAGAGGACATAGGGACCACTTTTCTTTTTTTTCTTTCATCCTATCTCTATTCTCCTATTCTGCATCATTTGTTAGTTCAACCTCTGAATTTTTCTTATCATATTAGCTCAATTTGGTCTTTTCCTGTTTGTCTGTAACACCATCCTGTAGAGAAATATCAGATGATCTGCTGCCATCAACACCATTGATATATTGATTATAAATGATAGAGTTTGGCCAATTTTTCATAGCCCTATTTCTCTTCTACAGATAGCTATGGGCCCAGTTTTTACTGTGACTCACTGTATATGCTCCCTTTCTTCCCTTTGACATGAAATTAGCTCAGATCTCATCTGCTTAACTTACACCGAGCCTGGTTCTGCTGGAGGTTACTTCCTGTTAAAAGGGAGTTTTCCTCTCCACTGTTGCTGCATGCATGTTTGGGTTGAGGCATTGCTGTCAATGACTGGATTCATTCAGCTTGTTTTCCTTAAACTTTAATTAACCTGCAAACTAAACCAATCTGAGTGTATGATCTGATTGAATTGTCTTCATAATACCTTGAGATGACGTGTGTTTTGAATTGCTGCTACACAAATAAACAGAATTTAATTGAGTTTACCCTGAATGTACCCTTTACAAATATTTCAAGTACATAAGAAAAAAGTTTTTGGCAAAGTTATTAGTTCTCTTGTTTACTGATTACTTTATTTTTGAAATGGGAAAGGCAGATTCAAATTACGCAGGCAGAAAAATATTAATAGACAAACAATCCTTCAGTCTCATGAAACTCCTTAACTCATTTTAATAAAACCTCAACAGGTTTTTTTTTAAGAGTGTCTTGTATGAAGCATCCCCCTCCAAAATTATATTGCCACCACCATATTGGATCCCATTCATCCGGTGGCTTGTCAAGGCACTTGGGTTGTATTCAGAAGCAGAATTCATTGCTGAATACACTTGTATGTCAAACTTAAAAAAAAAAAATTAGTAACAAAATCTTGAAACCATATGTGTTTTCATTCATTTAGAATTATATTCCACTTAGTATTTTAAAACATGTAAAATCCCAATAAGAGACACTACAGTTTATGGTTACAAGGTGAGAAAATGTGGGAAAGTTCAAATACTTTTATAAATACTTTTAAAAATTCCCAATAAATATAACACCATGACCGTTCCAAGCTCTAGTATCCTCTAACTTTTACATAAAATTCCTCGAAGTCAATTTTTTTTTTTACAGAGTAGACTATAATAAAATGCAATTTCCTTCATTGGGGTATTAATGTATTTGAAAGGCGCTGCGTGCCAGAAGCTGACTTGCTGAAGAAAAAAGGGGCTAACTGGAGCTGCCGTGCAGACATGGTCATACATGCCAATTGCAACCTTTCAAAGATTGCATTCACCCAGGTCAAGATCTGAACAAGCAATCATTTTATATCCTGCAGCACTGAATTCATGTCCACTAAGAGGAAGTCTCCACAAATCTTCATCTCAGTCTCCAGATTTGAATCAAATTGAAAAAAGCAGCTGGAATTTGAGGGAAAAAAGAAAAGGATCAAAACATAAATAAAGGGATCTTAGAGTGATAAAAGGTTTGCACGTGAGGAGGAGACATAAAAACCAAAAATAAAAAAAAGAAGTGGACATTTTTTATGACAAAAACTACTTTTAAACAAGCCAGTGTATTATTTTACAGTCCGATCATCTTTTTTAGTGAATCCAATTCACAACCCTAACTCAGCCCTATTTTGGATATCAAAATAGGGATGAGCATAGGGAAAACACTTCGTGCCCTGATTTCAGGACGGTTAAGGATCCGTGATGCAGCGAGTCGGCCTTGTTTCCAAAGAACAATGAATTATCAGAAGATATCAACTAAAGATCTGCTGAAATTTACCATGAAATAATACGACTTGGTAGGAGATAGGTTCTTCTATAGGATATTATTTTAACCTTTGTCATCAGATTTGAAATGTTTCACATCTAAGAGTTGGAGAAAAGAGAGAACAATAGACCTTGACCTTGAGCTCTGGATGATAAGATGGATGCTCACAGATCCTTCTCTGTGTTCACTGCAGCCTTAGTAAATGTGCTAAGACCAGTGTGGTACATTCATGTTTCTTTGAAACTTGTGTTTACCGGCTTAAATAAAGCAGAGAAATACTTAATTGGAAGACAGAGAGAAAGTCATCCAATAGAATAAGATTCAGCTGTTTATCCTATTATTTAAACCATAGAAATAAAACTGATCTGAACCAAGTGAAGCAGACAGTCAAAGCTCAGGGAATGAAATTAGATTCTCAGCAGTGCAGATATGCATTTGTTTGTTCTGACTTATACAGACCATGTATATCATTCATTCAGTCATTCCTACTTATGTTCCCAACTTTTCCTCAGTGCTGTATCTTTCGTTATCAGATATGGTACATTTCTAACTCTAAAAGGAGTATTTACAACTATAATGAGGGCAAAGTGTTGGAGTTAACAATTAGTGTAAAATTTGACAGCTATGCAGTGTAGCTTTTACTCTATAAGGTGTTGATTACCTGCCAGTCTATGAGAGTTCATTTTGACACTGATATGAGTAAAATAACTGACAATCTGACACTTGCCATGGAGTAAATTTTACACTAATTTGGAGTGGGACCAAATGTTATCTGAAACAGAGTTAGAACTCTGTAGGTGTTAAAATAACACTCAGGCCAGGATCAGTTTAGATTTTGGTTGATTAATCTATAGAATAAACCGTTTGAAGCATTTCTTTCATGTCTTTAATAAGGCCCTTTATATTTGAGCCTTTTATGAATGCTGCTGTATAAATAAACCACAGTGCTTTTGTTGCTATGCAGTTTTCTGTCAACACACTGTGCTGTCTTTATCTCCATTCTAAACCTGACCAGGTAAAGAAAATGGCTAATACAATGTTTTTGTGTATAAATATTCAGCTAAAACATTAAAAAAGGTGTGAAACGATCTTTTTCATTTACATTCTCCGTTATTTTAGGTCTAAACATAATAAAGCAACTGGTAATTGTGCGTTATTTAAAGAAAAAAATAAGATTAAAAGTTAACTGTTTTCATGATAAGGAAATGGCCACAATACTTTAAAACCATCATCACCTTTCAGTGGGAAAAATACTCAGAGCATCAATATAGTGACATATATGAAAGAGTATCGATGTGTTAGATTGGCCCAGTCAAAGGTCACACCTCTGAAAACGTTAGAAATATTTGAAAACTGATTTTCAATCATAGCTTAACCTATTCTCCACAAAAAATGGGGTCAAAACTTTAGTCTATAACTCTATTTGTGCAAAAATTATTATAGAGGTATGGCTTAAAGGGCTTACAGCAGCAAATGCTACAAAAAGCAGTGGTGGTGAGGTGGGGGCAAGATAAAACCATGCATGTTACCTGGAACAATGTATTACTTCTTCTTCCATTTGACAAAAAAGCTTCAAATGTCTTAATAAAATTCATTGAAGACCGGAGTGATAGGTGGGATTTCTACATTTTTATGATAAATTTTATGTTCAACAGAAAAAAAAGAAACTAGATTATGTTGCTTAGGATTTTGAAAGTCATGGTCACTGTTTAGGGCAGCACCTTTGATCGGCAGTAAGTCCCCCCCGTTCTTTGATGCGCTGTATAGTCATTTCACCCTAATGGGGTGGTGATCCAGGCTTGGGGACAAAGTCAAATAAATAAAGTCTCATTGTTTGGTGGACCAGTTATACAGCCTGCTATCTGCAGGAAAATTTTATAATATGATAGTTTAGTTTGCAGGTTAATTAATTTGATGATGTAGAACAAAATAGTAGCTTCGGGGTGCTTTAGGGCAGAGGTCACGGATTATCGGACTGTGGTCTGGACCCACCTGCTGGCAGTCCAGACCCAAACTGTATAAAAACATTAATAAATTACTGCATGTTGTCCGACGGCAGTGTCTAATTTCACTTGCGCTGCTTCTGCTGTTTGTGCGGTAAAGCCCTCCAGAGCATCTGGGACCAGGCTACAAGTGATACAAATTAGTCAATGAGCTGCTGGATAATTTTAGACACAGCGGGCAAACCTATGGAAAGCTGAGTGGTGGGAAAGAAGAAGACGATGAGAAAAAGTGAAGAGAGTGTGGACTGCTGGAAGAACTGCAGTGAACTGGTGACAGACGTGTGAAATGGTGTGCTCAAAGATGACCATGCACATTTTGAGTATGTTTGATTCAACCTGCTGCTGTGTTCCACCATGAACAGAATCAAAAATAAATATGGATCCAGGCTCGGCTCAAAATGAGATGATATGTGCTTCAGAATGGCTTTGTCTCCATTCAAACCCATATATATATATATATATATATATATATATATATATATATATATATATATATATATATATATTTGTTATTTAAATATTCAATATATAACATTGGTGCATAAACACCTCATTTGATTTCAGCGTTGAATTATGTTTAAAGTAACAGATTATAATTTAAAATGTCTCTGGACCATTACTGGTTTTTGATATTCTTTAACCAGACTCCCTGATTTTTAATTGGTTACCCCTGCTTTAGGGGAATGAGTGATGAAGGTCAGCTGATCATAATAATATTTAACTTAAATCCTAATGACCTCCAAGAGAAGAGGGGAAAGCATTTAATGCATTAAATAAAAGTAGCAATGTTTGATTTGAAGGTGTTTGTATAATAAAACATTAATCCTACCCTGTCTTTTTCAGGCTGATCCCACTAAGGTAGAAACAGTTCAAGATGTGCTGGCAAGGGCAATAGCCAAGGGGCTCCTATACGGCATAATATCTGAACCATCAAAAACTGGTAAGAAAAGCAAAAGCAAGAAGAAACAAGCTGCTTCCATCAAGCCTTCATCTCCCTCCAGCCAGGAGGAATCTGAAGGAGAGGAGGCTGTGGATGGAAGGGAGGGTGAAGAGAGTGAGGTTGGAAGGAAGGACGTTAAGACAGAAAAGAAGAAAAAACGAAAAACCAAAAGGAATCAAAAACAGACCAAAGGCGACAGCACAGGCCTGAAGCATCAAACTAAAGGGCAGAAGAAGAAAGCAAAGAGAAAAGTTAATCAATCCCAGCAGACAAACAGCAAACCAAAGCGAATACCACGTCTTACGCTGGCGATGATGTCTGCTGAAAAACCCTCCAGACACTTGTCTCCAATCACAGCTCTAGCACACAGGATCAGCGGAAAACCACTGAAGAGGCTGCAGGAGGGCTCCTCTTCAGTCCCAGAAAAACATCTCTCACATAATAACACCCCTCCCTCTTCTCCTCAGACGGCCTCTGACAGGCAAAATATCCGACCTGAGGGTGCAGAGAAGACCCTCGAGGAGGAGGAGGGGGTCCTTCCTGGTAATATTAGGAAACCACAGGCAAAGCTGAAGGCAGCAGATCGCATTCTGCCACCAATTTCTTCTTCTCCGATCTCAGAAGGCAGCGTTGGCGGATGCAGGGAGTCTCTAAACAACATCCCTCCTATAGGGTCACCATCCTCAGTTGCTCTGCATGAATGATAAAACATTCTCACTCACATTCATGCTGATATAATCCCCCAGTCTGTTGCTAGAGGACTGTTTCTGGCTCTTCCAGAGGTCTCCTTCTGATCTGAACATCTTCCTATGACTGATGGAACCATAAGTTATGTTCTAGAAGAACGTCATCAAACAGAATGTTCATTCATTAGTTCTTGTTCATTTCTCTCCACTGTCGCCACATGCATGCTGAGGAGGAGCGACCTCTGTAGGATCAATGAATACATGTAAACAGCTGAGCTTTTTAGATAGACCTGGCATCATAAGATCAGCAGGACTGTAGTACATGTGGATGTGACCCTTGGCAGGTTTCTTACCGATCGGCTTATTTGTGTATGGTTTTATGTTTTTGCTCAAGTGCTTTGAGTGGATTTCAGAATTGGTATTGTATAAATTCAACGCATTTACCATTTAATTGCCTTCAGGTTGTGCGACAATAAATAATTAAACCAAATTTAATTAAGATCATCTCTTTGGACATTCTTATTCTTTCTTTGAGGTTGGGTACAACCCAATCATGCAACAGGACACATGCAACTATTTTGACAGTGGGAGGCAGTAGGAGCACCCAGGGAGGACAAACCTGATGCAGAGGAACCCAGACTAGGAGTTGAACCCAACTAAGCAGTTGCTTAGTGCCCTCAGGCAAATGGGCCCCAAGAGGATACTTTTATTTTATTTATTCTCATGTATACATGTATTAGGATTTTTTTATAATACATATTCGATATATTGTTGGTCTTGTAGACATAATTAAATAAGAAGAAACATAATAAGGTCCATTGCATGGGTTTACTTTTTTTAAGTTGAGCTTTTTCATATAGTTACTTACCTGGTTTATAGACTTATTATACAAGTTACGGACTATTTATTAAATTTTAAACAACTTTACCTGGTTTCAGGTAACTTTTCATTCAAGTATGTGCTTAATGTTATTGTTTATTTTACCAAAATATGCTTTTTTGTGCATTCTTATTTTATTTATCTCTGTTATTGTATTAGCTCTTTGTCATTTTTCTTGCACAACAGATAAAATTTGTACATTGTTGTTGCATCTTATTGGGGGAAAAAATGCTATATTACCCTTTAACTATTGATATGTACTAGGTAATTTCATTACTTTTGGCAGCACTAAGTAATATACACTTTCAGGCTTAAATACATGTCGCAGAAATAGAGGGCCCCCAGATTAAATAACGTTTAGGGCCCCATGGACACTTGGGTCAGTCCTGAACCTAGGATACTGTATGGCAATGTTGTTACCTTCACTGTAAATATACTTAGCCAGCATCCCCACTGTGAAACAAGGAGGTATCATACTGTGGGAATGCCTGTCCTTAGCATGTATGGGATATAATTGGAAATGACTAGAAATATACTGGGGGAAGTTATGGGTTTGTTGAAGAATAAAAACGAACTTTAACCTGTTTAACTCTGAAGGGTTTTGCCAGAAAGAATTTTAAGTCAGTTAAAAAAGAGAGAAAGCAGCTGTCAAAATAAGAAACTAGAGAAATGACAGGACTACTTTCTCTCGACTGCAAAGACGTGTCATTCTGCATGCCTCAGACCAGCTGGTAAAAAAGGCCATCTCAGTGCGGGCCAGGACTCACCTTCTGCAATGAAAGGTACAAAAAGAAAGAGTAGTTGCAGCCGTTGCTTCGTCTCCTTGCTCTGATTAACTGAGCGGATCAGAAGATTCATCCTCTCCATGGCACTGAGGTGTTCATCTCCTCTGCCTTACATGCAGTTACACATAAATGCACCTTCATTGTTAATGTGCTTTTATTCACATGCTTTCATATGTGATGCAAATGAACACACCTGCACATAGGAATCTAAGTGTTTATGAAAATGTAAGCCTGATTCTTTTACTTTAAGAATTTTATTTTTCTTTGTGTCTTCTAAGTTATATTGTGGAGGACTGGGTGTCTATTTGAATTATCTGTTTTCTCTGCTACTTCACAGCATAGTAGCTTCATCTGGCCAGGTTATGTTAGGTGGTGGACATGAGCCCAGCTGGAGTTGAGCCGGTTTTTCAGTGCTTGGTCTTGTTTCTGTGATAGGGCTCACCTCTTACTGCAGTGCAAAAACAATCTTGAATTAAGTATAAATTTCTTAAATTACCTGTATTAACCCTTAATTTGATTAGGTAAATAAGATGATTTGCCAATGGAATTAATATTCTTACTCTTACAGTATAAGATAGAGAATATGCACTTGAAATAAGACAATGCAATTATTTTTTCTTATTTTAAATGTAAATTGTCTTCTTCCATTGACAAAGTGTCTCACTTATTTTGTTATAAATACTGAATCAGAGTTCATCGGCTTAACTGTTTCTTCCCTGGACAGAGCCACACAAGGAGCTGGTTTAACATTAGCTTTTCTAACAGAAAGTATTCAAGGATCAGAGCTTCTAAGTTCCTTTTTTTATGTCTGCTTCTATTTCCGTGGTTCAAAGATCAGCGTAAGCAAATGGCCACTCACATTGAATCTGGTTTTGCTGGGGCTTTCTTCCTGTTAAAAGGGAGTTTTTCCTCTCCACTGTTGCATGCTCGCTGTAAGGGATTGCTTAAGAGTCAAGGACAAAACGTAAGGGGATGTCTACTGTCACAATCCAGGAGCAAATCCTCAAAAGTCAGTAACTCAACTAATCAGCTTGGCTAAGAAGAATTGTAAATTTCCTCCTGTTAGGTAAAGTTATATTCAATTCTAATTTAATCATCTAGAAATAAACCCAAATATTTTGAACTTAATTAGGGCTTTGATGAAAAGATCCAACTTTTATTTTCATTTTTTTTTATCTATAACAATGATTCATAAGGGACATAGCTTTTTCTTCTGAGTTAAAATGTCCCTCTATCGACACTGCATAAACGATATAAAAGTTAGTAGAAATTTCTTAAATTAAGTGTATTTACCCTTCATTTGAGTAGGAAAATTCGATGATTTGCCAATGGAATTAGTATTGTTCTGCTCAAATAAAAATAAAATAAGATAATTAGATAGTATGCACTTGTAATAAAACAATACAATAGTTTTTTACTTATTTTAAATGCAAATTGTCTTGTTCCACTGGCAAAATATCTCACTTACCTCCTAAATTCAAGAAGAAATGCGCTTAAGAAAAAAATGACTTATTTTGAATTTTTCCAGTATTATCTTTACATGCAGCTACTGCAATATTCAACTGGGATCTTCTGCCATCGGTGGAAACTGTCAAAGTTTATGAAGAAATGCATTAAATGTGTAGGTAAGATGGAAGCAAACAGACCAGATGGTGTGTTTTATACCATTTATTCTCACAATTGGTTACATTGCTTAAGTGTACAAATCAGTGAGCAGCAAAAGGAAGCTAACACATCCATCTAACGGACTGTGTGTGTCTGTGTGGGTTCAACAGAAAGGCTGCGAGTCCACTCCGGCTCGCCGCTCCCTCCGCTGTGCGACGCTCTGAGCAGCAGTGGACCCTCAGCAGTGAGTGATCACTTTACAGGGTGAAGATATGTTCCTTTATCTGCTTTGTTTCTGCAAACCAGAGCTTTTTGGGATTTTGAGATTCAACCAGGGTCTGAAATAATGACAGCATCGAGACTTTCTCCCCTAGCTAATAAAATCAGTATATATCTTTTATAAAATACAATAAATAAAATAAAAAATAGTTTTGTTCAATACACTCAAGTCTCTCTTTTGACCAGCTGAGGACATGCAACGCTCCTCACAACTTTCCTTTTTCTCCAGATCAAAAGAATGCATAGATAAAATCGCACAGTTAAATTCAGCATGAACTTAAGTGTAAAAATGTCTAATCGCCCGCTCGCTTTCTCATTATTTGCTTTCATATTTTCCTATCTACAACAATTTATATACGTATTTTACACTTTGGCCATTTGGTATGATTCAGAAAAGGCATTTTTCTATAATAACCTGTAAGAAAATAAGAGACATTCAAAAATAAAGACAAAGCTTATAACAACAATAAATGTTACACTGAGTGGATTATCTGTACAAACATGTCTTATTCACACGTCATCATCATTCTGTGAAAAAGGGGGGGAGAGGATTAACTTTCCAATCATTCTCTGATACAAAACAAGGTCCTTGAAGTTACGTGATTTTACTTGCTACATGCTACTGGCAAGAAAAAGATGGCACCGATGCTCATGTCTCCGTTAGCTCACCACATGGAAAACGTTGACTTCTTCCAGCATGTTTTAGTAAGCTGGGTATAGGCCCGCGCGGAAGCAGTGTGTGCTGTTAGCTATTACCTTAAAAAAAAATCTGCATGATAGGCGGATGAAGTGATCAGAGAGGATAGAGAAGAAAAACTACAATACAAAATAAAAACAAGTGTGCTTATAAAAACAAGTAAGCTAAATAAGAGCAAATACAGCAATAGTCTAGTGCACTATTAAGAATTTGACTTGACTATTTTAGTTCAGTTAAGTTTTTTATTTTTTTTTATTCACTCTAATGGCCTTAAAGCCACAAAATGTATAAAATATATATATTTTGTTGTAATTTCAAGACTGTTGTATGAAGCCTTGGACCTCCTGCTTTTATTAACCTCTCCAATAAGGAAAATACATTTTCAAAAAACTTTTAGTTTGTTTACTGAGGGGTCAAACTCTTATGCTGCTGTGTTAAATGTGTAGTAGCGCCATGTTGTTTTCCTATAGCATTAAGTCTGGTAAGAGCAAAACAAGAATTAACCTTGGATAGTAAACAGAACAGTGCAGGAATGAAATACAAGCCATCAGAATGACTAATGCATGATTTATTTAAGCTACTTTAACTGAATTGTATCTGCAAAGTCCTGGACTTCAGGTTTTAGCAGCAGGATTTCTTACTATAGGGGGCGCTGTTTGTCTGACCCCATGGAGAACTCCATGAGCCAGACTGGAAAGCTACAACAGATGTGCTTTGATTAAAAGGAGCAACATTTGGCCGTTTTTAAACAGCTGCGACTCATTAATCCGAGGTATTTTATTTTCCTAGTTTCCAATTACAAATAAATTAAATTATTCAGAGATTCACTGATTAACTGAGCTAAAACATGGAAATCAAGAACAAGACTTTAGAAATAGGCCCAATAATCCTTTCAATATAAATAAAGAACTACATCACATCTAAATGAAAAATACCTCAGGCCTTCAAGGCCATGTGATTTTATTTCTGCAGATTCTCTTTTGCTGATAAAGTATTTCATTGCTCTATATATTTGCAAAGATGTTTGAAAACAGGTAAAGTCAACAGTTTCCTTGGCGATAGACTAAAAGTATTTTAGAACGATCAAGATTAATAACTGATTCTTCTACTGTACATCAGAAGGGTCAGATTTGGGAGAGCACAGAGATAGCAAAGTGGAAAAAACATTTATGCTTTTTTGAAAACAGACCTAAAGCTAGCAAAATAATGGCACTGATGGAAACATTTTTCCTAAACAAAAGCACCCAGGAGATGGATAGCAGCCCGAGAAAGTTGCTCGGTTTGAGTCCCTCCAACCTACAGGTGGGTTTCCTTAAATAGGCGAATCACTTCCTTTCTTAGACATATTTAAACCCAAACAATCATAGAGACAGAAAAACATCCCTAAGGTCTATCAGACTCCCCCCAGCATGCTGATGTCTCCTTGTCTTCAAAGCAGCCAGTCTAGCACTGCTAACCAGAGAGAGAAAACTGTCTGCTGGCCTTCCTTCCCTTTATGGCTATTATCTGTTATTTCTTCAAAGATCACAAATACAATACTAAAAAAAAAAAAACATTAGACGGAAAAGGTAGAGATATGAAGCATGATTCAGGTGACGAGTCACCACTCGTTCCAAGCTCAAATATATCTGCGGCCCTCCGATTTTCCTACTTGTGTCTCTGAAAGCAGCAGCACTTTTTCCACATTGTTTAAAACGGTTCAGATTTAGATAATAATAAAAAAAAAAAACTTCATGCACACTCAGCTGAACAGGCTCCACTGGATTCTCTCTAGTCTATAGCAGCTTTCTTTGTTCATCCAGGAACAAGATGGCTTTATTTTCTCACTCGTTCCCTCTCATTGTTTTGTTCTGACGTTTAGATCTACTAAGGACAACGGGAGGCAGCGTCGGAGAGGGAGAGGAGCTACCGCGGGTTAACAGATGGCGGGGAGATGTGCCCGGTGTGGGGCATCATGCTGACAGGCGTAAACACAGATACACAGAAAAGCGTGGAGAGATGGGCGATTTGGTGAGCGATGAGCTCGGCCGTGGCACACGTGCTGTGCTTAAAGGAGCGCCTCCTGCTTCTCCAGGTTGTTCCCTCTTTTCCTCACGATGGTACTGAGAAAAATGGGAGTTAATCACTTGACTGTCTCAGACGCTCCTGTTTGATCTGGAATCGTAGTTTTGAACGGCTACTAAACTGATCTCTGAAGATTTGATTCCAAACAAACCCATCCACTGGAGATTCCATCAAACCTGTAGCTACTCTACTATGGAGCCTGTGATGGTGGCGAGGCTTTGGAAGCGAAGCGATGAAGTTTCCATGGTGACTAGGAGCTGTGTTAGGGAAAGCCTGTACTGGCTTGCTGCTGTTACTGCGGCAGCTCTGTGACGGGCTTCTTCTGCTTGAGGGTGTCGATGAGCGACAGGACGCCTCGCTTCACGCTGGTCGAGACCCGACGGGACACGGAGTCTCCGGGGGGCGATGAGCCACAGGCCTTCTGGGAGGGCGGCCGGGCCACCAGACATTTCTGATACCGCAGCTGAGAGAAAGGGAGAGAGAGCAGAACATAGAGGCAGAGTGTAAATCACAGAGCTACAGCTGCTGAGTAAACGACAGCAGAGGTATGTAAGTGAAAGACTGATGAGGAGGGAGCTGGACTGGTGCAGGCTGGGATCAATAGTAATGACTAACGGTTCTGGCCACCGTCGATCTGCTTCGGAGAGTGTGTGTTTGTGTCTGTCTGTGTGTGTGGCCATATATCCAAATATCAGATCGGTGATCAATGGCCCGGCCTGCAGTGGACTAATCTCATATGTCAGACAGCAGACGGAGAAGTTAAGTATATACACCACAGACTACAGATGGTGTTTGGTGTGGGAAAGGCTGCAAACGTACGGACAGAATAAAAACACTGAAGGGTTAAGAAAGAGATTAGGCTTCCACTGAAGTATTAAGCTACAATTATAATAAATAAGGATGATAAATTAAATAAAAACTACTGAACATCAGACACAGTGCTTCACTTCTTCAGCATTTTACTGGTAATAGACCAGTGCAGACTAGTACATTATTCGTTGGAGCATATCATCTGAAAATGATGTAGGATATGGCCATCTACCGCTAGGTAATCAGAGAAGCAGGCAAGAGGCTCATGGCAACTCTGAGGTTCACAAAGCCATAGCTTGGGTTGGAAAATTGGATTTGAGGCCTAATAAAATTTAGAAACCCGTCTTTTATGAATAAGTGTGGGAAAAAAAGTAGTTTAAAGAAGGCAAAAGTAGAACCGTTTGGAGCTTTTTACAAGCCAAGGGGGAGACAAAGCTAAAGATGATGCTCTGGTCATCTTGTTTGGGCTTTGTGCAGAAACTCATCCACCACCATTTGGGGAGACATGGTGATGGCAGCATTATGCTGGGGAGTGGTGAAACAGTAAAGGTTATGGGAAGTTAAATATGTTAAATATGAGATGATTTAGAAAGAAAACAGGTTTGAATCTGCAAAATATTCTGGACTGTAGCAGGGGGCCACCTTCCAGAACAACAACCTACAAGGCTTTAATCTACATCATTTTAAATGGCTCAGCCAAAGATACTACTCTGCGCCTACATTTGGGTAGCTGATCACTATAAATATATTCCAAAGACTTGCAGCTGTCACTGCAGTAAAATGTGGCGCTATGGACTCAGGAGAGCCAAAATACAAATAACGCCATTTCAAGATTATAATTACTAATAAAATTTAAAGGCCACTGATTATTTTCCTTATGCTTAACAGATAAGCACTCTATGTTGATCAATCTTAAGAGAAAAACTGTTAACTGATAAAATTGAAATTTGTTTAAAAGGGTCTGAATATTTCTCCACTGTGTGAATAGTTCATTTGAACACACATTCTCAGTGCATTGACAGAAAATCCCAACCTGCGTCTGAAACGCTGAAATATTTAGAGCTAAACCCTAAACTGTCAAAACAAATATCCTAAATGGCTTTCATTCATTTTTAATATGGATCAGTGCCTCCATGGCTTAAACCAGCTGCTACTGGGGAAAAAAGTGAGTTTTAAAAATGAGACATTATCTGCTTTTTTTAATTGCTTAAAGTACCAGAAGTCAGATGTTGGTAGATTTTGCAAGTGCAATTGTATTACAGGTTTACTCGGAAGGATTTTATATTTTTTTGGAATGGAAATGAAAACTGAAATTCAAATTAGATTAACTGCAAAGCCCTAACTGTAATTTAAAACATGTTTCTGCCTTTTTTATTTGTCAAAGGAGCCGAGATAATTTTCTACAGCTGTGGAACTAGGGGAAAAGTAACTCTGGATGATATTATTTATTTAATGCACAACCCGAAATGCTGGTTTCCTCAGTCTAATTAACCCTCTGTGTCAGTATGTCTGTGACTGCTGCAGATCAGACCTGACAGGAGCTTTAGTTATTTATCTCCCCGTCTCCTCTTTGCACATACGGCCTTTGTTTTAAAGGCCTCTTTCTATAACATCATTTATTTTTCATGACCTGAACCTTTTAAAGAGGTTAAGACTCACCATACAAGCTGCCTGCACAGCTTCAGAAACGCTTCCAGCATTGGGCTCACACCAGAAGACATGGCAGTCGAAGCGATGGCTGCCGGCGTCCATGATGAAGGCAAACGTGTGTATGTCACGGCCGACGCCCATGAAAGACAGGAAACGGACGCGGCATTCCACCAGCACTTCCTCTTCATCCTAGTCAGAGATACGGATGTGGGATTAATAAGAGCATTTATCTTCATGTAAAAGTTGATTTGAAATCTGAATAAGACCTGTCAACAACACAACGCTGTTCGTCTTTTTTGCACTAAAATTACGGGAACTGAGACGCTTACAGAAAATAAGTATTTAAGAAACTTATAACGAAAGTCCTTTTATCTGTCTTGAAGTCTGACCAGGAGAGATTAAGGAGCCATCACTCAAATGTCTGACCATTTTAATATTTAAAAATTGTGTTTTGCAACAAGATAAGGACGTAAATATAGTTAATGAGTCTGACGGGGACAAAGAGCGGGATAGGTTAGTCCAGGGGCAGATGTCTAACCTTGTCTTTGCTGATGGTCACAGTGGCATCTGCCACATTAAGGGCCACAGGAGTCCAGTCCTCTCTGTTGGAAGAGCCAATAAGACTGTCGATAGCACTGTTCAGTGTATCCATGCCTGCAAAACAGAATGTTTTTAAACAAGATCACAGCTCAAACATTTTACGGTCATATTTAAAACCATTTGTATTTGCAGCCATGTCTCTGTTTAGTGGACCCACCTATTGGTCTGGCCACAGGCATCATTCCCAGGTAGAGCACCTGAAATTTCTGAACCAGTTCAGTCTTTGGTGTAGGGAACTCTGCCGGGAGAAAGTCATCAGGAAATGAACAACAGCTCAGAGCAACAGAAAATTTTTCACCAAGTAGTCCTTTATATCACATTGTTTTGCACCCCAACAAGGGGAACTAATGCGTGCTTTTCAGTGTAAACAAAAACACAGCAGAAATGCGACTAAATAATGGTACAATTCATAATCATAGTTGCACTGCAGTTTTGTTCTGTTTTATTCTCATCAATCTTTTGTCATTCAAATCCTAGGGATTCATAATTTTAAACCGATTACAAGACAATAAAGTGATCATTCACATTACTCCTGTATCTCAGCTATAGGAGGGATTGCGAAGACCCTCCTATAAAACCCTTTTGATACATTTTATCCCAGCACCCATACAGAAATCATAATTTTTAAGACACAGGGTGCACAATTTCTCCACACATTGTTTTTCTCACAACTCCTAGGGGGTGGAAGGCAAAGTTAAAAATCAAGGAAGAGGCTAATTTTTATTTAGCACAAGCACATGCTAGCAGCAGGCACTATAGAGAACAAATCTCCCGAATTATCACATTTTTACATTTATTTGCTGCATTAAAGCTGTTGAAACAACGAAGAGATGGTGTGCAACTCCTGCAGAGCTGAAATAAAAATCCGTTTCTCAATTTACAAGAACACAACTATGGACTTATGTCCTCGCCAAGTATGTTCTTGAGAAGAACACAGGAAAGTCTGGACTCAGGGAGAACGGGAGCAAGCAGCATAAATATGGGTCAATTGGAACAGAAGCGTACTTGTGATGTCACCACACGCTTGGCCCCTGTTATTAATAGTTTCTAGATAATAATAAATGCTTACTTTTCTCATTTAGTAGGGGAATAATAATGAACAAAGTCAGATAAACACAAATCAAATTAACATTTTGCCAAATGAAACAAAAAAAAAATCACCATTAGAGCCAGCGGTCCTTCTCACACTGCTATGCTGACAGAGGGCCGCTGCAGACGGGCTGCAGTTAGCCCTGGCTGCCGTTACCCTGGGACGTCTGCTGGTTGCTGCGGTCCTCTCAACTTTAGATTTTTTCTTTTTTATTACGCATTAAATCGGTAAATGGGCCATATAGTGACGTATAATGTCACTATATAAAGTATAATATTCTCGCCTCAAATGATCTTAAAACGTACCTTTATTGAACAACAGCAACAGAAAAGGGAACTTTAACTTAATACTCTGAGCTCTGTGAGCGCTCCATTGAAAGGTGCCGCAGTGCATGCTGGGACAGCTGTCAATCTCAAGAACGGACAAGTCTTCTCTGATGCATACTCAGTAAATAGGGAGGGGCGAGAACAACATCCGGGGACTTTGTCAGTTCTCGGTTTGCTGTTCTTGTGAACTGAAACACTACTAGGGCTGCTGTTGATGAGGTTTCACGAGTACATGAGAACGCACAAGTACACATATTAAGAAACGGCTAAAGAGCTGACGAAACCCCACCTTTCAGTAGAAACTTTTATTGCCGTGAGCCAACAAGCTACTTTACGGGTGATATGTAGAGCTCCCCCTACAGGCTTGGTGGAACAGTTCAGTAGATCTCAGTTGCCTATAACCCGGTGCGGCTTTTATATGTACATTTTTACACACATTTGTTTTGTTTTTAACTCGGTAGGTGTGGCTTATAGTGAGAAGATACTTCAAATCTCTTTTTCCCAAAGAGATCAGGCCAGCTCTCCTACATGTCACAGAGTAGGAGCTGATTGATGAATCTTTGTTTTTTCCCCACAATCTATTTTAGATGATCTCCTATTCAATCGTTTCACAGGTTTTCTAAAGGGTTTGGGTCTACACACTGAAATGCCCATGGAAGACAGATGATTTAGTGTCTGGTTAATCTTTTTCTACATTAACTAGAGTTTGATCTAAAATCTCCACTAATGATGTTCTCCAAAAGTTTCCCAGGACCTCAGAAACAAGGGTTCACAGATCCTCCACTGTTATCTTCCCAATTTATAGAGCAGGCCTAGTTATCATGCATACTTGGTAAAAAGGACACTGCAGCTCTCCAACTATAATAAAATAGTCAAATAAAGAATACTTTAACCAAAAAGAAATGAAATCCTAGAATATTGGATCAACATAAAATGTGTTGTGGGAAAAGGACTGTTTTAGGTACAAGTACTTTGGAAACTTTCATAAAACAATCAATTATTCCTTAACATTGAAGTTTGTCTGTTAAGGAAATAAAATAAAAGATTAGACTTTTCAGATTTTTTCAGATTAAGATTACACAACTAAATAAGCGATTAACTATTTTGAAGCTCTTTACATTATTATTTTTTTCAATCAGGGTTTTGTCACAGAGAGAGATGAAGTGACATGAAGGCGTCCCCATCTTCATCTCTTGGAAATGTAACAGTAAAAAGCGAGGAGGACAGAACGCTGAGGCATCATACGATTGCATTTCTTTATCTGTATCTATTATGCCACTTCAATGTACTTCTTCTCTTCTTTTTTCTTTCCTATCACTTTCTTTTTCTGTACACAACTCGTGCAGCCTTACCACGCATTTCTCATTTGCTGGATCCTAACCTCCTTATATCTGCAAACCGACAAGTGTTTATGTGATAGGTTCTCATTGTTTAAAGTTTTGTGAGCATAGCAACAGGATGTGAGCAAGGAAAGAAGCTACAGGATGCGCTCACAGACATAAATGTGTTTACTTAGTAATACATCAGTTGATTTTAACGCCTCCTACATGACTTCTACTTCAAACTGCCCTCATACTCCTGGTAATTCTTGGCAATATTCACACTAAAACATCCTGCTGTTAGAGATGGTGACTCTGCAGGCATGCTGGCCCAAAGGTGACAACTTTTACTATTTTATGTCTGTTGTAGTATTTATTGTCTCCTGGGTCCCACAGAGTGGATGAATATATGGATGAAGCGCACCTTGTAAAGGGAGATCCAACCCCGCCTGCATCCTTTCATGGAGTGAACCCCCTGCCAGGGCTTTGGCATTCTTTCTCTCCGTCATTATCTAGAGAAAAGAATGGATTTTTTACACCACGGCAGAAAGAAACTGGGCATAACAAGAAGATGCATTTATAATATGTGTGAAAGTGGATGAGAGAAGCAGCTGGAGGGAGATGAAACAAATCAAACCAAAGAGCTCTAGACCAGCTTTACAGCCGAACCTGGCGTCCGGCCATGCACGAAAACAATCACAAAAACAAACAGGTCCCACCTTAAAACTACAAAGATAACAGAGTTCCTTCAACACTTTGAAGAAGGAAACAACAGCACCATAAAACTCACACAGATCTGTGGTCTTTAATCAGTTTATCAGATCAAAAAAGCCGCTTATCCGTTTTCTGTTTACTTCTTCTTCCAGTCTGATTTAAAAAGACCCAAACCTTACAAAATATGAACTTTAACTGTTACACACACAAAGTTTAACAACATTCCATTCTTTGACATGATTCAGGCTTATCCACAATACGTGCTGCCATTTTTAAGGGCTGATATTTCAGGCTGATATTGCTTGCTCTTTCTCAATTTACTTGATAGATGTGATGAAAGTATACCAAATGTGACAAAGTTTTCAATTTAAACTGAAAGAAAAAGCTATTAACAAATCCAAATAGCGCTTGTCAGGCAAGCGGGTCAGGAAATGACCGCTTAATGCATTAATTAATCGGCAAACACACATACATATCGGCAAATACTAATACAAGAAAAATATCGACCAAAAATATCAACAGCTCATATATTGTTCTGTCTTTGGGGTTGAATAAGCTTTTGTACCGGTTCTGGTGAGTTTGTTTATGTAAGTATCTGAAAAGTTTTCAAGCAAAGCATTTCTGAGGTCATACATTGTTACTGGACAAGAAAGGCTGCCTCTCAGTATCTGCTGTGGTTCAACCTAAGGGTGTTGGGTTAAGGTAAGGACTCTATGCAAAGTTCAAGTTCATCCTGGGCCAGATTTATTTAACCACGTCTTTATGGACCTTGCCTTGTTAACTGGTGCCCTGACCATTTCTCTACTGGTCTAGAAAGCATCATTTTACATTCCAGTTTGTGATTAAAGCCTTAAGTTGTGTGGATCAACTACTGAAACTTATTCAATTAAGCTTACAGTATTTAGCATTGTTTAGCTACTTTGAACGTCACTTTAAGTTTTGTGGTCTGAATCTAACAAGTCTACAGACGGTTGGTAGCCTCTGCTCATTGTGCAGCTTAGTATCTTTCCTCAATCAGGGTGTTTTTTTTCCTGTTTGCTTCCACACTGGTATGTCACCACCACTTTGAAATTACAATTCATAGAGAGGAAATCTGACAACAGCATTTGTTGCAATGCTGGCAGCCTATCATAGTTACCATGAGCCAGAACAACCTGTGCCTTGGTACTGGAATTTATCCCCCAAGGCAAATAAACAGGCCTAATATGACCCCATTAGAAACAGTCTCTACAGTGAACTGAAGTCAGGGGCCAGTTAAGAGTCCACATAGAAAATTTAAAATTATAAAGACCTTCATTTTAAAGACTGAATCAAAGGTTTACTGGGACAAAGAAAAACATGTATTAGTGCCATATCCATAGCAGGAACAGTGAAAATAAAGTGAAATTGAGTATCAGGAGCGTTAAAGGTAGCATGCATAAGGTGTTTGGCAACAGGGAGCGAATTGTTCATGGATTTGGCTTTGATTGTGCAGCCAGTTGTTCTGGCTAGAACAACTCACCCTGGAGCAGATCTCATGCAGGCTTGTGGCGATGGCTTTGGCCGGCGTGTCACAGCGGAACACATGACATTTCAGGATCCTGGTGTTTTTGTCCCGTGCCACATATGCAAAGTCCCTAAAAAAAAAAAGAAAAAAAGCCATAAGAACTATAAGTCAGGGTTAAAAAGCAACATGTCTAGGGCACAGATGAGGAATGAAGGGATGTTTATAGAGGTTATAAATGCCATACATTCACACCCATACAAGTTGATCGATCACCACAGATCAATAAAGCAGTGGGATGCAAGAAAGAGCTAAATACAGAGGGAGCAGGTAAAAGACTTTCTGAGATCAGTGGAGTGGAAAACAATTCAACTCTGCTGAACAGAGAAGATTAAGAGTGTATACAAGAAGAAAAGGTACTAACGCCTTATAGGAGTACTCATACAGCCTTTAACAAACATTTATGTATATCACGAAGAGTAAGATAGTAGTGCATACTGCTAGTGTAATGGAAGGAGATGGATACATTCTTTTTTTTTTTTATA